AATCAACCAACCAACAGCAAATTATGAAGCACTTTTTTTTTCTTCTAAGCTCATCATGGATCTAGATCATTTTGCAATACTGGACTCTTCACATCTACTCACAAAGAAGGTACAGTAGACTGAGAAAGAGCAAGATTGGATCATGTGGTTGTTCTGTTTACTCTTCTTGTAAAAACAAATGCACACGCCAGCACTCATTGCAGCAAACAGATGGTTCATGAACTTGATGATACTCAAATATGGGGATTGCACAAGGTAAATTGGTATACAAAAAATTTTGTGTGAATACTCAAAACTGCATAAGGTAAATTTAAGTTTAGTAAGAGATTACTGTACACTAAATATATACTGATCACTTACAGTAAATTAGTTGCACAAAATTACTTTAAGTCACACAATTGTCATAGAATGGAATCTGTATGTAGTAGAAGTGGTTCACATGATTTCAGAATAAATGCTGTATACTGTATCCGATACTGTAAGGGAATTACAAAAATCACACTGAATTTCAAATTGAGCAGTGAAGTCAATTAATAAAGAGTGGAAGTTGTATCATACAGTACCACATGTCTCTGCAACGGAGTAGGCAGGCAAGGAGAACGATGGTTAGACATGTCACTGTGAGACCAACAGTACTGTAACTAAATGTGGTACAGAGTTCAATGGTTGAGATGAGAGAAAATATCTACAGTATGAGTCAAAGCTGATTTGTATAGCAGGGTGGCAAGGAAGTCATTATTGACAAACAAGCATCCCATATTTAGCATGACATTTCAAACAAAGTATTTAAATAATATTCCAATACATGGCCAAAAGTTTTGTGGTTAGATGAAGCAAAATTAGACTTTTTTGGACTAAATAAATAGCATTAGCTGTAATGCAAACCCCAAATAGTTAATCACCCTGTCAACTCCATTCCTACAGTCAAGGAGGTGGCAGCTTTATGTTATGAGGCTGGGAATGTTGTAGAAAGCTTTTCAAAACTGAGGGGAAAATAGAAGAAACCTTGCTTCAGTCTACACATGCCTAAAACAACAAAGAAAATTCATCTTTAAGCAGGAAAATTACCCAGAGACCAAAGCCAAAGCTACTGTATACTGGATTGACTTAAAAAGAAGAAAATTAATGTTGCTGAGTGGCCCATTCAGCATTCTGACTTGAATCTGAAAATCTGTAGAAATACCTTGATAATTGCTGACCATCAGCAAAAAACGATCTAAATGGGACATCATTGGCAAGAAGTGAATAGTTTTGTAAGGCACAATATCTACATATAATTTCCAAAACTGATTAAAGAGCAATCAGTTTCATGCCAAAATATTGTTAAATATCCCCCCACACACAATTATTTAAATTGTTTCCCTTATTCCTCCAGAGCACTAACTTTCAAAATATCACATAGAATTTATACACTGAATGTCTTGATGTTCTCTGTCTACTAAATGCCTGCATTGTGTCAATGTTTGATTTAATTCCTCTTGTCAAACAATTCTGGGCGATATCAGCTACAAGAATACATCTTAGCTACACAAACACAAGTTGACACCTTAAAAATGAATATACTGTATTACCACTTCAAAGTTTAAAGACACTTTAAACCTGTGAAACTGCAGAAAATGAAATAAAATGTTAATATATTGTGAATCAGTGGATTGATGTACTGTGTCAGTGTGTATATGTATATATGGAATGGGTAGGGCTAATTCTTGCTTCAACCCCCATAATCAATCAATTAAACTTAATTACTTAATTACTTAATTACTAATTGCCCAAATGACCAAACAGAGGCACTATTTGCATTAACATTAACATTAAATGTAGTAAGTAATTAGCATTCAGATACTATATTATTATATTTGAAATTGAAGATTGCAAGGTCACAAATATCTTTTAGTTTGAAAATGATCTATACTTTTATCTTGCTCAAGTCATACAACATAGTTAAATGTTGGCATTTGCAGTATCTATAAGTTTAATTGACATAAATTATATGCAGGGAGAAAGAAACTAAATTGCAGGAAAATTTTAACTCTAATAACAGATTAATTCTCCTGTTCTAGATATTTTTAAATGTAGTATAGCTAATGTAATGTACCATTCTTTATACAGATCTTTTTCATTAGCATTAGACGTGGAATAGATTATTTGCTTGGGTTGACAATTTCACTGTCAAAATTTTAGCTTAAAAACCCCTGTGTTACAAGCAATACATCACAAAGACAAAATATTCTGGCTAGCTCTGCCAAAGTCCATCTGACCATCCCTTAACTATTCCCCACAGACAGTTTACTTAGTCTGGGGATTTACTTATTTAAACAGAGGGAAATAGATAAATAAGACCCCTTCCCTTCAAATATAATCCACAAGATAAGCTTGCTTTATAATGGCTCATATAATCAATGGATATCTGATGTGCAGACAATGCTACAGTAAAACTACTTTCTAACCTACTTAGAAAGGGGCAGGTGTCCCAGTTTTTTCTTGTTTATTCAGTACACTTAGCATGTTGTTTTTTTTTCCAAAGCAGTGTTTTATCTAGGATAATGCGGCACTTCTAATTTTAAAAATAGTCAAAGTGTCAGGTATTTCAAAGGATATTCATTAAAAAAACAGTCCATTTACAGCAACATGCCTCTGCATCAGAAATGCACCATAGTCCACTGACAACATGCACTCGTATACTTTATACCAACAATGGTTAATCCTGATTTTGGAGTAGTCTGCAGGGTTTTTTTTCCAACACAGTTCTTAACAACCTAAATTAGATCAAAATTGGCTTAAAGGGAATAATTTAACAACAATATCTGCATGTGATCCCACTTCAAAGACCTAGAAAAAGCAAAAGCAAGACAAAGAAAAGCAACAGAAGTTTTTCTAGAGCCACAGTTTTATAACCATCCACTTAAGCAATTGAGACTATTTGAGGAGCTGTCCACTGGAAAACTGGTGCTGAAACCCATAAATGTTTGTTCATTATAGTGGGTGTTTTTTCAGAATGTCCATAATCAATTTTTACCAGCCAGGGACCAGCACTATTAATATTGCTTCCATATTTCATAGGCCTATAAAATGGTAAGCACTTCATGGAGATATGCTTCTGATGTTCAAGTCTTATTGGATTCTCTGTAGGTTATAAACAAAGCCACTGCATTATTTAACTGGACACTAGACACTAAATCAAATCAGTTCTACACCTGTAAAAAGAAGCATTGCCAAATAATAACACATAATCTCATTTAATTTTCCTGGTTTGTTTTTGACTGAGTGATTTCAAATCAAACTCTGTTTATTTTAACGCTAACCTGCAAAAGTGTTATTTTGTTGCCAGTTTTAACAATTAAATATTCAGTATTCACACTCAATAGAGATTTTTTTTGCTTTAGTGAAACCCAAACCTTAAACTTTAAGACACATTCATAATATAAATAAGGCCCTTAATGAACCAACTCAAAAGAGATGGTGATAAAAGCCAAAGCTCTATGTCTGGACAACGGCATGTTGAAAACAAAAAAAATAAAATAAATACAGCTAAAAATCCATGTGTACTTAGACTTTTCACTTCCATTGAAGCAAAGGTTTATTGAGAGTGAAAAATGAAATGCAAGTGAGATTTATTAAAAGCCTTGGTGTTGCTACTTGAACTTATTACACTGCTCCAAGTTCTCCATCTGACCTTCTGGCTTGTAAAGCTTTGTGAAGGTACACATTGTCCTCCAGGATTATGAAGCATACATTTCTGAGGATAAGTGATTTTTGTCTAGTTCTCCTGTTTCACATGGGGTCTGCAGGGTGAAACAAAGATTTCCTTGGGGAACTGGAGACCTGAAGTGGTTCTTCCATCTTGGTACTTTGCCTTTATCACATAATAAATAGAGATGCTTTCTGCTTGTCAACACTGGTTAAGCTTTAGGTTCTGCTTGTGCTAGACTCAGCTGCGTGTCTGAGTCTCTGCCCCTGACTGTCTATAATTTGTGAGCTCTTGAATTGCGTCTACCCATCTATGCCCGTGATGCCTTTTTTGTTTTATTCCTTTTTGTAACCCTTGCAATTAGCAGTCAAGGAGTAGCATATGCAGTAGCATAGCCAAGATCCAATTCCAGTTGTATGCCTGCAATAAATACGTTTTCTGTCTAAATGTTAATTTTAATAATGCAAGTTGATATCTAGGTTAAATTGCATGCATATACAAAACACTAAAGAATTGACAGTTAAACACTGTAGTAGCTGTAAGCACCAAAGAGTGGAATTTGCATGCAAATGCAGTTATGTTTGACCACGTTTGTTTCTGCTTTTGATGCAAATTCTACTTAATTTGAAAATTGTCTAAATTGACTTTTATTATAATGGTGTTCACTCTAACATGCTACAAATGATAAAAGTAATCTTATAATCTGTGCGAGATGGCTTTGAATCACACGATAACAATATAAACAGTTCTTTCAGGATTTATGTGGGTAAAGCAAGTTTATACTGTATATTCATGTGCAAAACCACATAATACAGCTGAACAGCATCTACTCCTTAAAGGTTGATGAAGGTAAGTAGGCAGTGACTGCTGAATTAGATAGCATATAATTAGATAATAGCTAGATTAAAATTCTCTCTGACTGCAGCCTCTTCTTCACTTTGTAGTCTTTTCTACTGTACTATAGTAATAATGGCAACAGATAGTTTACTATGTCCGTATGTCTGTATGTCTGTAGAAGAACTTAGTACAGGAGAAGGTACCTTTGGTATCACCTGCTTATTTAGCATATGGAATCAGCATACTGTATGTCATTGTCACCTTGTCCAAGATGCTTCCTGGGATTTGGAATGCTAGGGCAGGTACAGTATATAGATCCAAGGCTAACAAGATTAATATTTATTAAACGGCTTCCCAATTTATTGTTAGAAGGATAAATAGTGTTTTGCACAAAAAAAAACTCAAATTGTTCAGTATGTCATAACCTTCCACCCTAAGACAGCATTATGTTCCCCATCGGCATGTCAAAACTAACCTCGACAGATGAGCCCTTCCTTGTTGACAGTCTGCTTACACACCCCACAGTGTTTTCCCTTTTTGAAGGTCTTCACTCGGAACGTATGGGAATGGACTGCTTCAAATTCCTCTGGCTGTGTTTGGGAAAGGCAGAGAGAAAAAAAGAACACAAATTAAAATATATACTTTGACTAGGTCATCTCATAATCAAGCCAAATGGATTTGAGTCTATTTTCAGAAACACTCACATCTGAATGCTGCTGTCTTTTAGTACTTTAATTAATTGGTTATGGTTCAGCTGAAGACAAAAAAGCTCAACTACACTGACAAGCATAACAAATAAGACTTTGAAATTCTATAAAGTATACTATTAAAACCATCTCTTTTATAGTTTCTTCATATGTAGAAATAATATCTTGAATACTAGAAACATGTTAAAAGGAAAATATCTCGATGTGCAGATATAAACTGAAAAAATGCCTCTTCTAACTGGTCAATAATATTCTGTACTTTTTGTTAAAGCAATGCATCACACTCAAGTGCGGGTATGACAACATGAAATTCTCCTGTTAACATTAGTTGTTGTGATTGATCAGATTTAATTCAGATGATTAATTATAAGATAGCTATACAAGTACCCAATCATTAAAATTAATAAATCCATCTGTTTAAGAAAGAATGTAGAGAGTTAGAAAGGTGAGAGCTGGTAGTCAGTTTTGTATGCTAATCATGTGTAAGGCACAGAGTACACCAGCATTCATTAAGAAACCTAGGGAATAGTTATACCCTCTTCCAAGTAAGGATAGAGAAAGCAAAAGCCAAGTTGTCCTAGAAAATAGTTATGACTGGACATAATGTACTGTATGCAGCCAGCTGTAAATCTTCTCTGCAGGTGTTTCATACAAGATGTTTTAAAACAATTTTATCTGAAACCAATTGTAACTGCCTTATTTTTTTAAAGTAACTATAGAATTTCAGCTTTTATTGCATCAGGATAGTATGTTTTAACTGTTTTTCCAGACATGCTTTTGCTCAGTCTTAGTAAGAAAAGTGAATTAGCTGATGCCACAATAATATTTTAAATATCATGTTTCAGTTCTCTAAAAATGCCTATTATTACCAACTGCTTTTATAAACCATATGCTACAGTATGTAGTGGACATCCTTTGTTGTTCAGGCTGTGATATCATTTCCTCTGAATATTTTTTCAGCTGTTTTACATTCAATGTTTAATTTATTCAGGGCTTTCATCCGCTCCGAAAGCCACAGGGTCTTTGTTGATATTCAATGCCTTTTTAATAGAACATAACTTGGTTTACAAGAAACATGTGTACCACAACACACAAGTAAAAGATGCTGGTGTATGAAAAATAAAAAAAACTGACCTGCTTCATTTACAAAACAGACCTTTCAATATAAAACATTGAACCTAAATTGTTGTTTTTCATAAGAACTCTGTTAATCCTAATGTCTTAACATTATCAAGCCTTAATATGGCTGGAATATGGTTGGAAATAGTTTCCTTATGCATTTCGTGTTAATGTTCTATAAAGTAGAAAAGACTTCATCCTCAGGTAAGAGACAGAGTGGTGTGCTAGTGAGAAATCCCAGTGAAGTACTACAATGCTTCAGAGTAAGGTTGTTTCAGTTGGAAAATGAGGTTTACAATGTGGTTATACACGCAGAATGCTGTATCTTGTTCAGCTGGCATTCAGGAATTGGAATCATGTACTATTGTGTTTTAAAGATACACAATGTTAATAAATGGAAAAATAGCTGAATCTTATCAGCTTTCTCGCCACTACCCACTGTATAAAAGCATACAATTAAACAGTTGTGTATGGCTTGTGACCTTGAACGTACTGTACACCAACGGAACAGGGCGAAAGTGAGACAGCCGCCTTTTCATTCCAGGTCTTGGTTATGCACTACACCCCTTAATATGATTATCCTAATCTTGTTAGAGTAAAACCATTAATTGTACTATGCAAGCCTCTTTTATGGTAAACCAATCTCCATAATCTTCGTTGGTCTCAGAAGGAGAACCCAGCTGTAGTAAATGTTTTTTACAACAGATTACTTCTGCAATAATATAACTGTAGAGGACATCACAAGATGGACTCGCTTTTTTTCTTTATTACCGTTTGCAATTGAAATGCCACATCAGTGTCAGGAGCCTTGTGTGTGTAATGAATAGCAAATCCGATTTCTCTCCATTAGGTGATATTGCTACAGAGCTTCACAAAGAAGCAATGTGTACTGAAAGTCTGCAGAAAGGAACTGAGCAGAAGCCTAGTTTAGTCACTCTATGTATTTTGACTCTCTTTTGAAGTTGAAAAGTGAATTTCAACTAAAAACTCTGCTAGTGGTCATAGTGTTTGTCTTAAGACATTTTCAATAAAATCCTTCAGAGCTGGCTAGACTCTTGGTTTACTGTTCAGGAAAGACAAAGTCATTTCCATTACTGGGGTGACTTCAAAGATAGACAAATGTTTACCAAAGACCATTGTCTTAAAGTAGAATGTTAATGTGGCAATTTTTACAATGTTTACCATAGTTGTGCCAAAATAACAAGTGTTTTAAATGCATTTTACGTTGCTGTTTAAGGAAGGGGGGAATTTTTCCAGAAATTATTATCATTTCCCTTTTCTGTTTAGATACTATATCAATGTCATGGGGCACTTTAAAAAAAAAAAAATATGTATGCTTTTTTGCATATGTCAATATGTCTTATGTATTATTTTTTAAAACTATAATCCCTTTTATACCTGTTATAATATATTACGTTGTCAGTGGAGCAAAAACAGATTTAAACCCTAAACAGATCGTGATCAGATCGTGAGTTGTACATCTCCTTTACCTGATAGGCTAATTTTCCTCAGCAATCTTTGTCATCAGCTTGTATATTGTTGCCATAGTTGCTGTGTGCCTGGGCCACCTAACATGTTAGTTTACAGAGTTGTCATGGAAATGGTTGATCTTTAGGTTTGTTAAGAGTTCACATCCGCTCCATAGTTTAGATTTATTTTCAATAAAAGTAATGAGATGATTTAAGTTGTTCTCTTTTGTCACCGTGCCAATGAGTTACTCAGGCTTCAGCTAAAACCACAGTAAATCTATTCCTCCATTCTGGAAAAGAGAAGTGCAGATGTTCCATCTCACTTCCCTTGATGGCCTGTAAATGCACATACGCACCAGTGTGGAGACAGACAAGCACATCCCAAGATGTATGACCACATTGATGTTTGTTTTTCTATCCCTCCCAAAGACTGAAGGGAGTTCTAAAAAGAAGGGCAGACAGGAAAACGTCTTGATTTCATTAAATACTATAAAAAATGGACGTCTGCAGTAGTAAAGGAATCCTTTAGCCCCAGAATAAAAAAGGAGATATGGTGACAAGAATAACAAGAATGGAAAGGTGAATAAAATTAAACAAAACTCTGCTTTTTATATCTTATAAATTAATACAAATTAAACTACTGATGTGTTATGGTGCCGGTATTTTAAGGTTTTGTACATTTGTACAGATTAATGGTTCTTTATAATGCTGCCAGCTATCATTCCTCCATGTTATATTCTTATATGATTACCACATTATACAAAAAGATTTCTGTCTGATTTCATTTATTAGGAAAATGTCCACAAATATTACAGCTTATTTTCTCATTTGTGTTTTTACTGTATATCATCCTGGGCGAGTGAAATACAGATCAAGAAATGGTGTAAAGAGGGACAGTGAAAGGGGCAGCAATGAAAATCTCAGTCTTTGTAATCATCAAAGATTCATTCAGTATGTCCCTTTCTCTCTCTTTCTCTCAGGATTGCTGCCAACTATGCAAATACACTAGTCCATGTGCACAGACTGGTACAAAGGCAACACCAAAACATAGATCTCCAGACAGCAGTCCTTACTCAGTGGATACCGAGTCACAGAGACAGTAAGCCCATGGGAAAAGGAATCCCTCTATTCAGACTTCCATATGCACACAGACAATGCTGCCTGAGGCCTGGAGAGAATATGAACTCAGCTCTGTTGAATACTGCAGTGACGAAGTATGATTTGGTTCAACCTCTAACTGATAGGTAAACCTCCGCCACTAGTATTTTGCTAACCACAAAGGTAAACCTCAGTTTCTGATTGATGAGCACACATATTCCACTTCACTAAATTAACTAAATGCTGGCCTGCTGCCACAGGATGTCTGGGGAATGTCTATCTTTCAGCAACGACACTACTTGAAAAGAAACCACAATCCACTTGTACTGGAACTGAAATTCCACTGCTTTAGAGCACTGCTTATTATTTGTCTCTACATTGGAATTCTCCTGAGAGGTGCTAATGGCATCACTAATGGCTATATTTCTTCCGGTGACAAAGATCATGCTGTTAGTTGGTTCAATATTACCTTCCCGATTCAAGCACCACAAAAACTCTGTAGATAAACTAAGAAATTGGACTAAATGTGCATAAGGGACATATTTTTTTCAGTCAATCTTTTCCTCAGCACATACTGTATGTTAACATGTTTTCTAAAACTTTATATAATTAAGTTGCACGTAGTTACAACTTATTCTGTTTTAATAAAGAACTATCACAGTCTAGGAATATGCATGCCATAAAAGCGATCTCTGGCTTTGTGGGTACTGTCACTGTATTGTATGCAGGCATGATTTCTTCAAAATCTGTGAAGAGGTGAACACTTTAATCCATCAGGATAGAAAAGGAAGGTGCTCCGAGGCCTACATGTAAAGATCCCAGAAACACAGAGTACAGTATGAGGTATTATAGAAAGAAACAGGCTAAAAAATCAAATCCACTGAATTTGCTTTTTTTCAGATGAAGCTGATAAAAGTACCACACAGCACGAGGCTAAGATCCCTCTTAAAAGAAAAGTGGAAGGGATTTCTCGAGTAGAGAAAGTCAGGTCCTTTCTCCCTTGTGTTCAAGAAGCTGGGCATGAAGCCAGCTGGTTTGGGGTGAGAAGAACCCTCTGTGGTTCTGTACAAGGGGGATCTTGGGGGTAACTGGAAGGCATTTCATTTCTCACAAAGGAGTAACTCGTGGGCAGAAAGAGGAGGGGCGAGTGGGGGTTTCTTGACAGAAGTGAAAGGGACGTGAGATGGCCATGCGTCC